CTGTTTGAATTGATCGAACAGTGTTTTTCCTTTTCACCAAAGCTATTGATTTTTTGTTGCACTGGAAGTCTTGATCCAACCTTGGAGTTAATCTCCATCTTGCCATTTTAAAAATGCACTCTTAGGATTTCTTGGAATTTTAAACAGCCCAATAATAGTCCTTTACTGTGCCAGCATTTATAAAATCATCTGTGTGAAAGTAACACGGATTGAACTACATCCTCTTTGTCAAGCAGCCTGCTTTTGCATATTTTCCTTATCTAGCAGTTCATGCAAACGTATTTAAATAATGTTTATTGGCTAATTCAGAGTATTTCTGTTTACACTTTGGAAGACAATCCACAGCCACCCAAATGACACTAATCCATCTGCATATGTCTTTCTGCTTAGGCTTTTATCTCCTTTTTATCCATGCTAGCACAGCGCAATGTAACTAGAAAAAAAAGTTATTGCCATCAACTTGCATATTGTTCCTGACACCTAGAACAGATTATTCTTGTTCCAGTATAATTCAAGATAACGCTGTATAAATATATTTAAGACAAAGGTGGACAATATGGCAGAGAAATCAAGCATTTGGAGTATTAAAGGCAGCCAGTGGCTTACTCAGCCTATGCTACATCTTTAACTAAAATATCAGCCTCGGTCGGACTGACTCTTTAGCCCTCATCCTAACGCTTAGAGGCTGATTTATAAATATTCCCCCAAGCGTATAGCTGGGCAAATGCTGTTGGCACGTCATTCCTGCCACTAGATGGAGGCGAGTAGCATTTCCATGCCCTCACCTTCATCTAGTGGCAGAAATGCCATGCTAACGGCATTCATCCAGCATATGACTAGGCAGAAGACTTAAAATAGACCCCTTAAAGTAGATCTATATCCTCCACAACAAGGAGAAAATCTGTCAGGTTTGCTGTGCTGTCACAAGACCAAGATGTAAGGGCAAATCTTTGAAAATCATCTAATATAGACACTGATTGTGATGGCATCATCTAAGAGGGGATTTCACCCACATTTTGTTATGTCTCTGGGACAGGAAGTAAATAATAATCTTCCCAGTAGGACACGGACAAAGCCTGAAAGATGCTTTAACTGGTTCTGTACTCTATCCAAAGCTAAACAGTGGTCACCAGGACTAACAAAGAGAGTGAATGCCTTCAGCAAGGAGACAAACAGCAATAACAACCTAGTATTTGAGGTTGAATAAAGATATATAAGTCCATCAAGTCCAACCTATTGCGTGTATGCATTTATGAGCAGGTGTGTGCGTGTATATGTGTCCATGTGTGATTTTTCTTTTAGCAGTACCTGTACCCCTGTATATTATGGTCTCCAAGGAACTCATCCAGGAGTCTCTTGAATGATTCCACACTCTTAGCTGAAATCACTTCCTGCGGCAGCGAGTTCCAGACCCTAACCGCTCTAACTGTGAAGAACCCCTTGCACCCTGTATGTTGACATTTTTTTTCCACCAATTTTTGGTTGTGCCCTCTTTGTTACGGAGCTGACCGTAAACAGTTTGTTACAAAGGTTGCTGTCACCCTTGAATAGTTTATACATGAAAATCATGTCCCCCCTTAATCTCCTAATCTCCAATGAGAACATATTTAATTTTAACAACCTTGTTTCATAGTTCAGATCCTCGCACCCCTTAATGAGTTTGGTTGCCCTCTGTTTATACTATTTATAAACAATTTACAGGGCCTTTGCCTTCTGAGTATCTGTGAATGTTCATTTTGGGCAATTAATGCCAAAAATGTATGTTCTTAAAATATTTTATCCCAGTTCGAAGGTAGCTTTTTGTAATAATACACTATGATCACCAGATTGAGCTTAGAAGCATACTTATAGTATTTCCTATGGTCCTCGGCTCTATCTAGTGGCGATAATGTATTATTAGAACACACTATATTATTCAAATTGGGAAAAACCTATATTAGAACACACTATATTCGAACTGGGAAAAACCTATATTAGAACACTATATTTGAACTGGGAAAAACATATATTAAAACACACTATATACGAACTGGGAAAAACATATTGAGAACATTCATTTTTTGGCATTATACACCCAAAATTTACATTCATAAATATTCACAGGATAAACGGGCCTATGATTCGTTTATAAATAGACTCCATAGTGTTTTTCATATTTGTTTTTAGTTACAAATGTATGAAATGCTGTATATTAGCTTCTTATTTTTACAACTAGCAGCCATCAAGTGGCAAATTTTATGCTAACTTTCTGGTCTCCTAGCAGAAGTAGGATGAACTACATAGTCAGCTGGGCTACCAGAAAACATTCAGGCAGTGCTTGCAAGCAACCCCATACCTCCTGAGATGAGAAAGAGAGGGCTATCTTTCAGCACAAACCATGTATGCAATGGGAACACCATTTCCACATACCCGAATTATGTGACTCGGAAATAATTTATACGTCAAAAATGATTGGCTAAACCCACAAGTGCATATTTTCTTCACTTTTTTTTACCTTGACACTGAATTTTTAAAATAGTAGCTTTTTTTTTTATAGAGGTCTATTTATCAGACTAAAAAGTTGGACGACTGAGGATGGAAGAGACACTTTGAAGTTGGTCCTTGAAGAGGATCAGTCCCTTCGAATGAAGGGCGGATGGGTGCTATATGCACCCCTATAATTTTACAATCTAGGCACAGGGTTAAGCCAAACTGTGGTACTACCACTGCCTGAACAGTGCTCTGAATTAGTAAGGAACTTTTATGCAAAAGAGACCAGTTTGTGACTGAATAAAGTGTAAGTAGGACAGGACAGTGGGACAGTAAGGACAAGACTATCAGAGCAATATATAATTCTAGAAGAAGTGTATAATGCTTCCAAAGTGGTGTACGGTGCAGCAGCTATGACTAGTCTCCAGCTGGAATGTCCTGCTTATCAGTTTGACCTACCGTAATTTGCATGGTCCTCCTATTGTAAAATCCGAATATGGTGCTATTTTTTAATGTTTGGTACTAAATTCATGCTAGTTTATAAAGTTGTAAGTAGCCCAGCGTACGAGGTAAAGCGGAAATGATAAGGGAGCTTAATTAAAGTTTCTGTACTTTATTTGCAAGCAGGAACACTGTGTTCTTGAAATGCTTTAATTAAAACAGTGTGAAAACAATTTCCGAGCACAGCAAAGCAGGGTTAATTTGCTATATAAGTACTGCATATCACATTAAATCACTTTAAGTCACTGATCAGGTTCAAGTTGGTGTAAGTAAAAGTATTTCCAGCTGACCGCTTATTAATGTACAGGCATAGTTATTGCTGGGAGTTGGCCATAACAGATATCTCTTATCTGCTGTGCCTGTAGAAACTGCACATTGTAATTTGAAATGCCTCCAGCTCTGACGGCTTGGGAAAGCACAACGTGCTGTGCTAATAATTCAGCAGTCCTGTACAAGAAGACACTGTGCAGATTTAAATAGGCAGCCTTTAAGCCCAGCTTTTATTAACTTTATTGACTTGGTTGCTCATTCAAGTACTGTCAAAGTGATCTAAAGTCACCCTGCCTGCCAATTTACAGTACTTGCCTAATTATTAAGCCTTGTGTTTTATGTCCTCCACACCCAATCGCATTTGTTTGCTTCTGCAATTCTGCTATCTCTGCTTTACAGTAAGTCTCAATTCTGAGGCGTAGGCCAAGGTCAGAAGGGCATCTTTATACTCCACAGGCGTTGAAATAGAATATTAAAGGGTATCTATGATTAAAAACTAAAAATAGATATGTATTTCTTTAGATTGCAAGCTCTGGCGAGCAGGGCCTTCCTAACCCTTCTGCTTTGAAATTTTATTGTAGCTGTACTGTCTCCCTTCATTTTGTAAAGAGGTGCACAAACTGCTGGCACTATATAATAAAAATAATATTAATATTGATTGCGATAAGTTAAGTCCTAATTACCATATCAATCTAGAAGTTTGTAAATGTACCTATTGAAGATGCCTATGAGATGTACTTCCTCAATGCACTGACACAATTTCACTCAGCGCTGTGAATATGCACTTTATGTCACCACTCTAACTAAGCCTGCTGCACAAACTACAACTCAACTTCTGAACTTCCCAATGCATGAAAGCACTGCATGATGGGATATGTAGTCTTGGGAAATTGCAATTGCATCACATCAAGCAGCAGGGAACGAGATGTAAAGCAAACTGGGAATCCTGAAAGTGATAGGCAGATAGAAGGCAGCAATCACTACATAAAAGGGATTTTTTTTCACGCAAGCTTTGATTGCATTATAAAAAAACAACTCTAGTATGTATTCCTATTAGAATGCTGATGTTATAACAGGATAGTATATGCTGGAACCTTACAACTCCTTTTAACCACTTGAAGACCGGGGTGTTAAACCCCCTTCCTGGCCAGGCCATTTTTCATTATTCAGCTCTGAGGTACTTTGACATTTTTTCAGTCATGCAACGCTGTACCTAAATCAATTTTATACCATTTTTTGGGGACACGTAGAGCTTTCTTTTGGTGGAATTTAATCACCACTGGGGTATTTTTTTATTATATATCGAACAAAGTTCAGAAAATGTAAATTAAAAAAAAAAAAAAACTACGTTACCCTATCAAACATGTATTATTACACACTTTTTTATAAAATATAAAAGATGGGATCACGTCGGGTAAATAGACACCAAACATGTCAAACAATGTTCAGTGTTAACAGTGATTAATGGTGCTAGAATTATTGCTTGCAATCCAACGTTCGTGATGATATGTAACGTGTGGTGTAATCGTTGTTTTCGCACTTAGGCACACCCAACGCATATTTATGTTTGTATGTATGTGCATGTGGGGGCATTTTTTTAAAATATGAAGCAGAGATCTGATTGATCCACTTCTTCTGGCTATAGCAGCCAGAGAAATGACAGCTGAAGGCGGAAGTGATGTAATACACATCACTTCTGCTTTCAGAGATCGGAGGGGAGTTCAGCAAATAGAAGAGTGCTGATCTCCCTCCGTTTTCAGTACTGGCAGCCGCTGTGCCGGTCCTGGGCCTGCACGAAAGTCAATGGAGCCCGGGATAGTCAACAGCGGTGGTGGCCCACAAGTCTTTGACACCCTACAAGCGTTCGGGGTGGCTATAGAGCCACCCGAGCGCTTGTACGGAACAGCCAAGTACTGGCTGTTTAAAAATTTTACTGGATAAAAAAAGCCGTTCATATACGGCGACCCGCAGAAAGGAACTTGTTATCTGTCTTTCTGTTTATTTACAACTGGCGGACGGCAAATACTTAAAGTAAGCATGTCCCTCCAGAGATTTGAGCAGCAGGAAATGCTCCCACTAAATCCTAGAATGTAATGCACAACGTGAAAATGTAACTCCCAACAGGTTGCCGATGCCCAGTAATTTATAGTAGGATGTGGTAGGGGTTTTCTGCAGTTGCCTTTCCTGCCGGTAGAAACTTGCACACTGCTGGCATCATAGTTTGAAAGCAGGGGGTAATGGTCAGAACCTGCAGGTGGTGCCTAGTTTCTCAGCAGAGAGAGAAGTAGTAACAAACCACATGCTCAAGGAAGCACATTCAAATTAACCCTGTCAAATAGACTGTTAACTACCTCTTGAATGGATTATAGAGAACTTGGATTAAAGTGAACTAAGTAAACTTTATTATTTTAGCACAGTGCTTTAGAACAGCACTGATTGTTTTCACTAGTTGTCTAGAATACTCTTAATAGTAAAACGTTGATGAGAAAAATATGGGAACTGGCACCACTGATCTGACCATTATGCTGACCCACTAGTTTAGGTATTTCTGAATTACAGACCTGAAACAAGTATACATATTAAGAAAGTTAGATAAGTCCTTATCACCATATTTGCAGTCCAGTAGACCCCATTCACACCTAGGCATGTAGCTCTAAGTATGATAGTGCTCAACAAGAGGAATCCCTTTGTTTTTAGTGGCCCCTGTTCACACCTGAGCATTGTTTTGCTTGTCGTCAGCTGCATGAAGCTTGAAAAAGTACATGAACCTTCTGGGCCACACACCTCATCCCACTTTTCACTCCCCATTTAATTAGGAACAATGGAATTATGGTTCTGTGTTCTTCTACTTCCGACAATGACTGGGATGTACAATTTATTTAATGTACAGTATTGCCCTGATGGTTTCATTATCTGTGAACTCATAAATAAAGCAATTGAAAAAAATAAATGGCGTTTTTGGTCAAATTCTTCCTAGGACCAGAAAGCCCAGGATTTTCCAGTAGAAAATTTTAGACGTTTTATGTCAGCAGCCTACCAACTCCACCATTACCCTTGGAAATTAACCTCTACTCTGCCTGTTTCATTTTTGGTCAATCTGATAAACAACATTATCTGAATGGAGGATTTCCCAGCTTCTGACAATGATATTTAGAACGATACAGTGGAAATCCGGTTAAAGAATCACCCCAAGCATCAAGGTCTCAAAAAACCCAGCAGTACTCCAACACCCTAACATTTATCCAGTACAGTTTATAGCTTTACCCATCAAATACTTGCTCCAGTTAATGAGACACTGTAACCTTCTTTTCCTGTGATTCCTTGCTGCGCCTTCCTACGTTTTAGCTGGAACCGAGATTAGCTGTGTTGGCAACCCTGGGGAGCGGTGAGCACTGGGGCCTAGCAATTGGCTGCTGGGCCTGGGCACTGTCACAGGGGAGCACATACCCCTCCATACCTGGAAGTATAATACCTATGTATTCTCACCATCTTAGGAAGAGAAAGGAATGGCAAAGGATTAGTAATAAGGTGCGTATAGGTGGGTGCAAGAATGCCCTTTGCCCATGCACTGCCACTTTGTCCTGCATGGACAAGGTGACAGTGTTTGTTTAAAGAGTTGTTCCACCTGCCCTTTCCCTTTTAAAATTATGGAAAGCCTTTTATCCCAGAAGGTATGCACAGCCCATTGTCCTGCTGATGGAGGCCCACTGAAAAATACTTATTGACCTATTTTGGGAGAGGAAAGCTAACGACACCTGCTTTAGAAACGTACATAAAAAATATGAGTTTAGGATTCAAAATATATAAAAATGTCAGTCTGTTGTTGGAATTCAGTATTCGTGTAAAATGTACATTTCCTATATTTGTATGACTTTTGTTGAAATATTTTTTACAGATTTGTCATTTAACCTGACAATTTAATAGAACCAAGACAGGGTATGGTTAATTGACTCAGACCAATGTTTAAGAAAGTTGTTCTAAGAATTGTGCAATCTATTTCAGTTTTTCATAAATTTTCCTTGGTTCGCATTTTGTTTTTTGCCACTATTTGAGCTGCATCGTTAGTCTATTTTAGCTGAATGGGCAGTAGGCGTAACATCTGTGAGCTTGATAAATAGCTCCTAATGAAAGCTGTCACCAATAGGTGCTGGACATAAAAAAAATGTACAGATGTACTGCTTCACAGACCGGTGGAGACACACCACTCTGGATTCTTAACAAGAGGTCAAGTGTATGCAGGGCCCTTGAATTATTGCTGCATATTCCTTTCTAGGCTCTGGAACGTGTGCCTTGTACTGTAAATGTTGGAAACTTTAGTGGGCATTTTAAACAACTTGTAAATATCTGAATAAGACATTCCAAAACACAGTGGGGTGAATTTATCATAGCAATTGCGAGTGTTTGAACGCATATGGTCGCATTGGATATATTTGCGCCAGATTTATGTTGCTAGTGTAATGTTGTTCATAAATGAGATTCATTTGTGTAACAAGGCTAAGGCTAGGCAAGGCTAAGAAAAAAATGGATGGGGCAGTGAATGTAGACTGACGCAATAGATGAACTATTTGGTATGTTAAAGAAGAAATCCGGGCAAATGACAAATTAACCCTTGCAGTGGGGCTACACCCACACTGCCAGGTTTAGGTGCTCATTTTGGTCTGGGGTCTAAAATTAAAAATATATACTCACCCGGGTTTTTAGACCACTGGAGCAGAGGGGGAGAGTGGCTGGGCAATGTATATTTGTTTGGTCTGGATTCATTAATGAAAAAAGTTTGAGAGTTTATCTACTTTTACTGTAAGGGCAAATTCTCACTTAAACTTTTTAAACTAAAGCTAATTACTAGGCAAGAAAGTGCGTGAAAACGTACATTACAGACATTTTTGGGTTTTTCACACATTTTTAGCTTTTCCATTGAAGTCTATTGGGGCCAAAATTCTGCATCCGTGCACAGGTCCCCTGCTGATAGGAGCAGTATAGAACGAATGTCAGTCTTGTGACACCCCTGTCCGTTCAGTTTTTTCCTCTATCTTGCAATGGAGGAAATGTCCCATGTTGGTCTATGTGGAATCGGATGTAAGAGGACTTGTCTGTTTACATCGGATTACCCCTGACCCGTTATGATCACCTCTAACGTGTTTAGTTGATTTAATCCAAATGATCAATTTAAGAAAACACTGTCAAAGTACAACTCCAACCAAATCTTTTTTCTAGTTTGGGGATAGAGTTGTTGATTAGTTAGGATTTGATGAATTAAATATGTGTAGCTGATAAATATCACAATCAGTAAAAACTCTCCAAATGCGAATGCTGCAAAATTAAATATTGATGGACTTCCTGTGTCAGGGATAACCAGCATTGCTTACACCAAAAGTACTTCCGAGTCGTCATTTTTGTTCATTTTGCACTGTGCCGGAGAGGGATTTCTCAAATAAAGTTAAATCGGCCTAAAGGGTGATAGATGTGCAGCACACGTTAAATTTATATGAAAGAGAAAATAAGATTTACTTGAAGCGCAATGGTAATTATAAAACTTTAAAGAACCTTATTAGAATTCTGTTGCTGTACATGACCTATTTAAGTGACCAGCTGGCTGTACCAGCCAGGTCCAGAAGATCCTGCAGCTTTGATCAAGATCAGATATACCGGATTAGCTCACTATAGCAGTCTGTAGAAGCTATGTACTGTGTGTTTATCATGTGCTTTTACTGTGCGTTACTGGAGTCTAGCCATATTGCTGATTGCCACACTCATTCAAGAGTCGGCATGGTGTGGTCACGCTGCTGGCTGAGAGCGTGCAATAGTGGCAAGAAGGGGACAGTCTTCCTCGGCACAGTGGTGCGAGATACAATTAAGGGTGGGGGGGGGCGTCAATGTGTGGGCCCCCCCTCCCCTGCTGACCTGATGAGGCCCTGTACAGGAGGGCTGGATGAACCTCAGTGGTCATGAGTGTAGAAGAGTGATGATGCACTCATTTTTTCCACTCTTTCAGACAGCATCAATATAACAGCAGTGATCAGGCTATTCATTAAGGGTGGGGGTGATGCCTGCTGAATTTTCCTTCTCTGCAAGTCAGCAGCTCTACATAGAAGCACAGAAGTGACGTCACTACAGATGTTGCAAGTCTCCTAGGCTTTAGCTTCATCTTTTGCTGAGGACTGTATTCGGTGCTTTTCCTATGGTATTCTTCACCTGAGTCGATCTGTGGTTGGGGGGGGAAATCTAGTGCTGGCAGGGAATGGTTCTGGGGGTTTCGTCCAGCGGGGGTGTTAAGTGCACGTATGTGCTAAGTTGTTCTGGTTGGGGGGCGGACAACAGACCACACTGTCAGTGGCTCTATCCAGCGTCCCGCCCATCTCACTGACGTCACTGGTTGCCAGCAGCTCGGTAGGACTCTTGAATCACAGAGAGCCTTCCGACTTCTCTCAGCTTCATCTGCATACGCTTATGCCTATATTTCTTGCTGAATTGTGTTAGCCACAATAGTTTAGAGATGTATAGAGAATGGAAACAAAGTAGAAACAGACAACATTTTGTAAGTGTTGAGGCTTGGTGCTTCTCCCTGTAAACCTGCTGCCTTTTCTCTTCCTTATATCTATTTTTTTTATAGATAGCATGCATAGGTTGTTATGTTACATATCTTGTATGGCTCGCTGCATAAGTTTGGAGACTTATGTAGCGGTTGGCTGTGCAGCCAAGCAAGCTACACAAATAAAGGAGTGGGGACATGCAAATATAAGATTTGGGTTGGTTGCTTTGCAGGGGCTTATTTATTCTATGATAGCAATACCCTCTTATAGCTTTGTAACTTCAGTGTAATGTGGATACCATTATCAGCTTAAGATGTGAACCATATTTAAAGGAGAACTATGGGGTTAAGGCTTTTCCCCATAGTTCTCCTTAGGGTAACGGGAGGACACAAACTAGCGTCCTCCCGTCACCCTGAGCTCAGTATACCGCGAACTACAGCTTGCGGTATACTGAGACGACACAGTATACCGCCAGCTGCACCCGCCCCCTCCCGCGTCAGCGCTGGTGGATCGGAGCTGGGAGGGGGGAATCCAGCCCCTCCCCTGTCACGGCAGAGAACTGTGACAGGATCGAGAGGTGAGGTAACGCCGGTATGTGTTCGCTCACCTCCCGATCTACTGAGCCGACCTGTGACAGTCTCATTGTTACAGGTCGGCTAGAACTATAAGGTGAGTGAAAAGCACTCCCCTCATAGTTCTCTTTTAACTAAATGTATTGCTGGTAAAGACTAGGGGTGAGTGGACCAAGCAATGCTCAGTTCTCCAGTGAGTAATCTGTGGGCCCCAATCACATTGTTCCTGAACATGGTGTTGCAAGCTTTTGTTATAAAAAAAGGAAAAGGGTAGTTGGGTGCAGCCACAGGGGATATGTGCCAAAATACACAATTCCTTTAAATATTGTGCTTGGGGGATGCCTTAAACCTGCTCCTGTAGCTGTGCACCAGAATGATGTACTCCTGCAAAAGTGACATTAAGAGAAGAAATATTGCCATTTGAAGACAGTCCCCACTTGGACAGCATGGCCCTTCTCAATCCATACTAGACTCTTATCCACTGGAGTAGGGTGTGGTATGGAATTTGAGGGTGACCCCACATTTTTTTCTTTTAAAGGGACAGTACTTCAGCATTGGACAGAGTTGGGCAGTTACATTCCACTGTACTGGAAATAGAGGCCACAGGGCAACTTTATTTCAATGGTTATTACAGTATTGGTGTGAAAAGTTAATTACTGTAATTGAATCCCTTTTATACTAGAGGGTTGCAGGAGCAGTGTTGTGAATATTATTATGACAGCTCTTATCATCACTAAGTGCACATTGGTCTTATTGTAATTCCTTTAGATACAGTTTAGAGCCTCAGATAAGCTGGAGATGAATTCATGAATTTTCTTGGAACCACAAAGGAGTAAGGCACTTTGGCTTTAAGATTTAAATGGCAAGATGTTAATGTAACTGTTTTACAAGGAACGTGTTTAAAAGTCATTTCAGGTGACTCTGCAAACCAGTTTATTCTAAGTATAACAAACAATCTCTCCTTTGCTTGTTTTTTAGGTTAGAAATGTTAGACAAGCCCTTCATGTGAACACTGTGGGTTTCTACAGCACACTAGCACCCTCCAGTGGTAAGTGTTATGTATGGCTGTGCAAAATCTATAGGACTTACCAAGTAAAGTATGCAAATGAAATCACGTCTTGTTGCAACTGCTGATTCTGTAGTTATTGTGTTGAAAATGAAATAGAGATTCTGTTTTCTATGGTTAACAAAAAATGTTCTTATTGGTATACTTCTCATGTATATATCGAAGCTCTTGCATCCTTTTAGATTATAAGCCGTCATGGGCAGGGCCCTCCTTACCATCTTGTCTTGAATTGTATTGTAACTGTAATGTCTTCCTTATATTGTAAAGCGCTGCGCAAACTGTTGGCGCTATATAAATCCTGTATAATAATAATAATAATTTCATGCTTGCAGAGGTTTGCCCCCCTTCTCCAAAGTGACAGAGCCTCTTAAATACGTGCAGTATTTACTTTCACCACTAGCAGGTAGAGGCCCTATAGCATTTAACACAGTTGGGTAGATTTCATAGCGCTCTAAAAGTATTATCACCACAACAACTTTTTTCTGTTTTACATAATATACTCATGATTTGGCTTTTCGTATACCCGATTTTGTTGTTTGACACCATATGGTTAAAAACCATGTTTTAAAAAGACTTATAATTGGTACCTACCCACTGCACATTTTCAGAGTATTTTCAAAACCTACATATTAAAAATATGCAGCAGGCGTCAAGTAAAAGTCTATTTAAAATAAAAGAAAGTTGGAGGACATTCATGTACTCCTGTAACTTACAGGAGTACATTTACTAATGTGCTCCTCTTACCCATTTTCAGCTAATAACGGGCTACAGCATTTTAGACAGCCGAAGACAGCTGTATACGCCCCCTCCTTCTCATAGTACTCCAATGACTGTCAGTCACACGCAGAGGCGGCTCTAGACTTTGTGAGGCCTTAGGCGAAACTCAAATTGTGAGGCCCCCACCTAAACCAATAATCAGGGCTTGAAAAATCCACTCGTCCTCTCGTCTGTGATGAGAGGACGCGGAGCCCGACGAGTAGCTTCCTGGCCACCCGTTGTAATTACATGGCCGGCCGGGAGCTTTACATTCAATCGATCGTGCGTCTCTAGAGATGCCCGACCACTTGTATAGGAGCAGGTGTCACTGCCTTGCCGGTCCTGTGATCCGCTGTGCCCGATGCGGCCGGGACTGGGAGTTCGGTACACAATCTCTCTTTGATCTCCTCTCAGTCCCCGAATGCAGGAATTGATGTATATTACGCCACTTCCTGCATTCAGTGTCACTCTCCAGCTACAGAAGCTGATGAAGTAGATCTCTGGGGGTCCCTAGGTGACATTAGGGGTCTTGGAGACCCCTGATGTCTCCATAAAGAGGGCCTGTCATGTAAATTGGCTATCACATAGGGGGCTTCTTAGCCCCCTATGTGATAGCAATAAAGTTGGGCAAAAAAAAGAAATTGCACCTATTGTGCCGCACATGTTACATATCGCTGCGAACATCGCAGTGAGAGAAATAATTTTAGGGCCATCAATCACTTATAACATTAAACTGATGAGCGGTAAACGCATTTTAAGGGGTAAAATGTAAGGAACGCGCAGAGGGCAGAAGTAAGGAACGCGCAGAGGGCAGAAGTAAGGAACGCGCAGAGGGCAGAAGTAAGGAACG